ATATATAATTTATAATGTAAGTTCATTGCTTAGGACAATTATTCTTAAAATTACACTTTATTTCTTATATTTGTCCTTTTCTTGGGTAACTGTTACAAATACCAAGATTTCCTATTCTACCAAACAAATATTATAACTAGTTAAGATGAGTTGAATGTTATTTTGCAATATAAATACCTCCTGTTTCTCCCCATTCTTAAATGCTTTTCCTTCAGTTTTCTTCTGAGTCTCATACATTTTTGACAATTCTTCTTGTTTTTGTTCATTACATTTATTCATTTTCATCCTAATTAATAATAAATAGAATTATTTAAAGCAGGAATAATGGATTTGAGAGTTGTTAGAGATCTTGCCAACACACACACACACACACACACACACACCCCACAATTTCTTACATAAAATAATTTTACATCCCAAGGAAATTATCAATATGATACACACACATATATATGTATATACACAAAACTTCATAAACTTGTTCTTAGTTTTCACAGATTTCTCCCTACTTAGTGTCTTCAGCCTTTTCTAAGGACATCAAGAAACCTCTCTGGTGAGAATGAGTAACCAAGGGGGATGGAAGACACAAATTTAAGGGCACATGCCATGTTTCCTCTCATTTTGCTTCCTCTCATATTTTTAAAAAAATTTTTGGCCGTGCCACATGGCATGCAGGATCTTAGTTCCCCGACCAGGGATTGAACCCATGCCCCCTGTATTAGAAGCATGGAGTCTTAACCCCTGGACTGCCAGGGAAGTCCCTCTCATATTTTTTAAGCTGTGAGAACATGAGCATGTGTAAGGGCAGGACACTATAGGAATATTAAGTGGTAAATCTCAGTTATACTCCTTGGGGTTTATGCATAAACAGTAAGCAGTTCATGACATTACTACTACCACTACCACAACTACCACCACCACCACCACCACTAACAACAACGACAACTACTACTACAACTAGTATCACTACCAACTATGATGACAACTACTACTACTACCACTACTACAACTAGTACCACCACCACCACTACCAGTAACAACTACTACTACAACTAGTACCACCACCACCACCACTACCACTAACAACTACTACTACTACCACCACTACTACTACTACCACCAGTACTACTACTAGTAGTAGCAGCAGCTAACTTTTACATTGTACTTACTAAGCACATGCCAGGCAATATTCTAAGTACTTTATACATATTAACTCATTTAATTCTCACAGCAACCCTATGAAATAGGTATTACTATTATTCCTCTTCTATTAGTAGTCCAGCAAAACCCCAGTTCTCTGGAACCCTTTCAGAAAATAATTGGTCTGGGAGTTGACTTTTTATTCTTTTCAGTTCAAAGTTCAGTTTTTTATTTTTAATCTTTTAAAAAGGAGATTCTTTGATAAGTATTATATACTCTGTTGGGAATAGAAAATGGTGCAATTGCTTTGGAAAAGTCTGGCAGTTCCTCAAAATGTTAAGCACTGAGTTACCATATGACCCGGCAATTCCATTCCTAGGTATATACCCAAGAAAAACAAAAACTATATCTATACACGTGAGGAGTGACTGCTAATAGGAAGATAGTTCTACGGGGGGGGGGGGTGCCTAAAATGTTATCAAATGATAATTGTGGTGATGCTTGCACAATGCTGTGAACATACTAAAAACCATTGAACTGTACACTTGAAATGGATGAACTGTATGGTATGTGAAGTATATCTCATTATCATTGTAAAATATCATATGCTTTTTGCCTTTTGCAGTAAAATATAGGGAACCTAGTGTAGATACTACCTATATGGGCTAGAGGCCAGACTACCTGTGTTGAAGCCCAGACCCATTACTGACACTATGGAATTGGGGCAAGTTACTTAAGTACTCTATGCCTTACTTTTCTCATCTGAAAATTGGGTTGTTATGAGAATTAAATGCACTAATTCATGTAGAGTGCTCAGTCCAGTGCTTGGAGTATAACAAACACTCAACAAATATTATTATTGTTTTCCTCTGATTCAGGGTAATCAATATGAAAGTCATTTAACTTATTGTTTAATCCAATGGCTCACAAACTTTGTCACATATTAAACTCACCTGGGGATATTTTTAAAGTTCCTGATGCCCAGACCATACTTCATACCAACTAAATCATAATAGTGGTTTTTAGATCTCTCCCAGGTGATTCCAGTGTAGAGTAACTTAGGCAATGTACAGTACTGAGGCAATAGGTGTTTTAACAGGCAGTCTTTTTTGAGGAGATCACTGAGACAGTGATCTTGGTTCCATAGCTTCCTCCTTTCTATTCAGTAGCTCTGGGAAATGACATGGATTTTCCTGCTTGAATAGATTGCTCTTTCTATATCTTTTAAAAGCCCCTTTGACAGTTATCTGGATCCCTTCCAGGCAAGTAGGAGCCAAACAGAGAACACAGGTGAAGACAATATACAGGAATCTGGGTTCACCGTGCTACTTACCAGTGCTGTGGTTTGGGTTCAGTAGCCAAAATACAACAAGGTCTGTGGCTACTTACCCAGGCAGTTTCTCTAAGTTTAATGTAGTGTTGGTAACATGTGACAAGGAAAATTTATTGCCTGAATGAGAAGACAGGACTATATCCTCAATTTCCTGCTATTTTATTCTGCCACCATCACTTCATCAAACCTGCTCTAATTTCTCAATCAGTAACCTCCATGTGAGGAAATCCAATGAACATTTTTAGTCCTAGACTTAACTGATACTTCAGAAGCATTAAACACCATTAACCCTCCCTCCTATTTAAAATACTCCCCTTTCTTTGCCTCTGTGGCAAAACACTCTAACTGGTGTTTCTCTGTCCCTCTTCTGGTTTCCCCTCCTCTATCAAGCCATTCAAGGCAGTTTCTCAAGATTTAGCTCTCGGCCCTCTTTTCATCTCATTCTCTACCCTCTTCCTAAGCAGATTCATGCACACGCATGGCTTCAATTACTATTACTCTGCCACAAAATTCAGCATTTTTCTTTCTAGTACAAACCATACATCCAGCTGCCCATTCAGTTGCTTTATTTAGGGATGTCTCAAAAGCTTATCAACTTCGATATGCCCAAAACCAAATAAATGAAGAAAAGATAACCTGAGCTTAGTGTCTAGGTCCCAGGTCTTCCTGTCATAAGTACTGTCTTTCACATAGGCCTGGCTACAAGCTTATTCAATTAGGGTTCACAAGGTGAAGGCCTGTGGTGAGGTTGCTGGTGATATACCTAGCCTGGAAACAGAGTTCCCAGGAGCACCTTCAAACATCAGCTTTTGTAGTTGATCAGAATGATACTTTGCTCTTTGTAGTGAGGTGGATGGACCTAGAGTCTTGTCATACAGAGTGAAGTAAGTCAGAAAGAGAAAAACAAATACCGTATGCTAACACATATATATGGAATCTAAAAAAAAAATGGTTCTCAAGAACCTAGGGGCAGGACAGGAATAAAGATGCAGATGTAGAGAATGGACTTGAGGATATGGGGAGGGGGAAGGGGAAGCTGGGGCGAAGTGAGAGAGTAACATTGACATATATACACTACCAAATGTAAAACAGATAGCTAGTGGGAAGCAGCTGCATAGCACAGGGAGATCAGCTTGGTGCTTTGCGACCACCTAGAGGGGTGGGATAAGGAGGGTGGGAGGGAGGGAGACGCAAGAGGGAGGGGATATGGGGATATATGTATGCATATAGCTGATTCATTTTGTTATACAGCAGAAACTAACACAACATTGTAAAGCAATTATACTCCAATAAAGATGTTAAAAAATAAAAAAAGAATGATACTTCGATCAAGTGAAATGCCCCATTTTAGTGTAGCTGGGGCTAGCTAGTCCTGTACGGCCAAACTCATCACTGACACTGTGGGGTTTAGTTCAGAAGTCTACAGGAGCAATCTGGAGAGGCAAACCCAAGCCAAAGTCCACAGGGAAAGTTGAATGGTAAATGTCAGAAGGAACAAATGCAAAGGGCCTCAAGTGGGATCGGAGTTTAGTAGAATAAGAGTAGGTGGTGAGCAGGAATATTGATCCAGAGCTACTGTTCTGAACAAGCTTATTGCATCTGTGACTCTCCTTTTCTGAAGAGGGGCTCATAATGCAAGAGTGTATTAGACCGGTTTAAAATATGAGAGACAAGTCAGCAAGTTTCCATGAATTCAGGAGCCTAAGATAAACAAAGTCCATGCTGGGTTAGGTTTAGAAACTGTCAGAAGCACTTTTGTTAAAAACTACTACAGCAGGAAAAAAAATCAACAAAGCTAAACATCTTTCTTAATTCCCTGAAATTATACTAATCTTTTATAGTTTTGAAAAACAAAAGACGCAGGACAACGGCTTGTGGGAGAGAACCAGTTATTTCACTGTGGGTTCACAAACAGCTTAAGAAGTGATTAACAAGCAAAGTTTTTAATTTGTAACTATCTCCTCCACTAGATATGTTTTTGTGACTTACATGTTCCGTCTAAAAGTATGATCGTTGGGTCTATGTTTAACTTTATCAAAAAGTGCCAAACTGTTTCCAAAGTAGCTGCACCATTCTGCATTTCCACCAGCCATCAGTGAGAGTTCCTGTTGCTTTGCCAGCATTTGTTATTGCCTTTTTCTTTTCTTTCTTTCTTCTCTCTATTCTTTTCTCTTTTTTTTTTTTTGGATTTTAGCCATTCTAATAGGTGTGTAGTGTATCGCATTGCGGTTTTAGTTTACATTTCCCTACTGACATAACATAATGTTGAGCATTGTTTCCTGTGTTCATTTGCCATCCATATACCTTCTTTAATGAAGTGTCTGTTCAAATCTTTTGCCCTTTTTTAAATTGAGTTGTCTTATTAAGTTGTAAGTATTGTTTATACATTCAAGATACAAGTTCTTTGTTGACTATGTCAAATAGTTGACTAGCTTCTGGATTTTCTTTTCCAAGTTACTTTGAATTCCCAGTTATTCGTGGGCAGCTCCTCAGGAGACCTATAAGAACACATAGAGCAGCCACTCACCTCTGAAACTGCAACTTTATCGAGGTGCTTGTAAACCCTTGGCGTTGTCGAAGGGATTTCATCTGTTTCCAAGTCCATAATATACTCTGTAGTAGGGAGAAGTCCTTTTCCTTTTCTAAGTCATAGAGCTGTTTTGTATTCCTACAATAATGTTAGATTAAAAATATGTTAGTGGGGCTTCCCTGGTGGTGCAGTAGGTAAGAATCTGCCTGCTAATGCAGGGGACATGGGTTTGAGCCCTGGTCTGGGGAGATACCATATATCACAAAGCAACTAAGCCCATGAGCCACAACTACTGAGCCCATGCACCACAACTACTGAGCCTGTGCTCTAGCACTCGCAAGCCACAACTACTGAGCCCACATGCTACAACTACTGAAGTCTGCGTGCCTAGAGCCCGTGCTCTGCAACAAGAGAAGCCACCGCAATAAGTCCACACACTGCAATGAAGAGTAGCCCCCGCTCGCCACAACTAGAGAAAGCCCGCGCGCAGCAACGAAGACCCAATGCAGCCAAAAACAAATAAATTTTAAAAAATATGTTAGTGGATTAGAACTACAGTACAAGTCATTACAAATGGCCTGGAAGAATGTATTGTACTAACTCTTCTGGGCCCCCCCACCCTTCTTTTTTTAAATTTTACCCACATCTTGATGTAGAGAATGAAATTCCATTTAGAGATTCATACCTCTTAAAGATTTTTCACTATTCAAAAGTGCTCTGCTAACATCCATGTATTTCCAGATTTTCTGGACATTCTGTAGTATATTTCTTATACATTTTTTCAGATTAACAATTAGAACCATTGCTTCAAATTTAGAGGTACTTTGCCTGACGGGTAGTGAGCAGATTATCTGGATGCTGAAGTAATATACTATTACTGGTTTCCTGACTTTGCAAACACACTATAGTGTGGCAAATTTTGCTGATTGATTTTCTAATATTAAATCATCCTTGCATTCCTGGAATGACCACAGTTTAGCTATATTATTTGATAAAATTCTGTTTAGCATATTTCATGAATGAAATTGGGTTGCAGTATTTTTTGTGTTGTTGTTAGGTTTTAATTTCAAGGATAATATAACCTCATAAACTGAAGTCCCGAGTTTATCAATTTTTTATCAAACATCTGGATTTGTTGATTCTATCCTAGCTTCCTTATTAATTTCTGTTCTCTTTATTTCATTCCTTCTATCCTTTTCCCTAGCTTTCTAAGAAAGATGCTTAGCTCATTAATTTTCAACCTTTCTTTTTCTCTAATATATGTATTTAAATAGTCAAATTTTCCTCTGAGAATTATTTTAGCTGTATCTCACAAATTTTGATACATATTAGTTGTTTATCAGTAAATTCAAAACATTTTCCAATGATCAATATGATGTCTTCTCTGGTTAACAAATTATTTAGACCTGTATTTCTTAATTTCCATACATATGGAGATTTCCTAGCAATATTTTTTGCATTTTTGTGTTGGGTTTCTGCACTAAATGATTTAAATCCTTTGAATATATTGAGACTCTGAGATTTGTTGAGATAACATAAGGTCGATTTTTGTAAATGTTCCATGTGTTCTTGAAGAAAGTGGTATTTTGCAGTTGTTAGGTACAATATTCTACAAATACACCAAGTCAAGTCTATTAAGCATGTTGTTCAAATCTTCTATATCCTTAATGAGATTTTTTGGTTTATTTATTCCATCAGTTACTGAGAGGAATGTGTTAAAATTGCCCAATACATTTGTGAATTGCTATTTTTCCTTATATTTCTGTCAAATTTTGCTTTATATATTTTGAAGCCATATTATGATATGCATATATGTATATGTCTCTGTGTGTGTGTGTGTGTGTATGCACACGTGTGAATTAAACCATATATTCTGATGTGGCCCTCTAGCTCTAGTAAAGCTTTTTGCCATAAAGATCTATTTTATCTTATACTAACTTAGCTATGCCAGCTTTCTTTTGTTAGTGTTTATGTGGCATGTTTTTTCCATTATTTTGTTCTCTAACTTTCTATATCCCTATGTTCTAGATAAGTTTCTCCTAAATAAAATATAACTGGATTTTTAAAAATCCAATTATTGGACTTCCCTCATGGCGCAGTGGTTAAGAATCCGACTGCCAATGCAGGGGACACGGGTTCGAGCCCTGGTCCAGGAAGATCCCACATGCCATGGAGCAACTAAGCCCGTGCACCACAACTACTGAGCCTGTGCATCACAACTACTGAGCCTGTGCGCCACAACTACTGAGCCCATGTGCCACAACTACTGAAGCCCATGCACATAGAGCCCACATTCTGCAACAAGAGAAGCCACCACAGTGAGAAGCCCGCTCACTGCAACGAAGAGTAGCCCCCGCTCGCCACAACTAGAGAAAGCCCGCGCGCAGCAACAAAGACCCAATGCAGCCAAAAATAATAAAAATAAAATAAAATTCAGACATAACTGCCACAAAGAAAAATTCCAGAAAAAAATCCAATTATTTTAATCCAGTCTAGATAAAAATGGATCACTTAACTAGTTCACTTAGATATATTTAGGTTTAACTCCACCATTTTCTTTTACGCTTTCTCCTTGTCTCCTCAGTCTCTACAGTCCCTTTTCTTTCTTTTTTTTTTTGCCTTCTTTTGGATTGTTTGAGTATTTTCTTATTATACTATTTTCCTCTTCAATTGATTTGGAAGTTATATTTTTTAATTCTCTTTCTTTAGAGGTCATAAGTTAAAATCTAAGTCCTTGATTTATCAAAGTCTAATATTAAGCTTTACCTTTATTCTCCTCCTAGTCAATGCAAATATCTTTAATTACATTTACCCTTCTCCATTCTTTACTCCATTCTAAAAGTTTTATTTTATTTTATTTTATTTTGCGGTACGCGGGCCTCTCACTGCTGTGGCCTCTCCCGTTGCGGAGCACAGGCTCCGGACGCGCAGGCTCAACGGCCATGGCTCACGGGCCCAGCCGCTTCGCGGCACGTGGGATCCTCCCGGACTGGGGCACAAACCCGTGTCCCCTGCATCGGCAGGCGGACTCCCAACCACTGCGCCACCAGGGAAGCACTAAAAGTTTTATATTTTAACTCTCTCTATATTTTTATACCCTGTAAGACATCATTACATCACTACATGATTGTTCATTGAGACTTACCCACATATTTACCACTCTCTTTGCTACTCAGTCCTTCCTTACTTGCTCTGTGTTCCTTATGCCAATGACTGTTCTTTGCCTTAAGTTGTAGTTAATTTTATAAATAACACTAGTTTGTTTTGTAAATACTGAAGGTTTCTGTTCATTCACTCATTCATTCAACTAACATTTATTGAGAGTTCACTATGTGCCAGTACTTGTACAAGACATATGTCAACTTCCTCAAGTAATATTGTTTGCATTTAACTAGGTTATTCTAGGAAACCAATTATTTAAAACAACTTGCCTCTAGTGGTTAAGAGCTTGTAGAGCCATTTCAGGTCAATGGGCAGAGAGTCAGGGAAATTCTTTAACTATCAAATCACTCTCACAGTTGTCATATCTTTGTGCATAGTTTAACTTTCTACCCAAAAAGTACCTCCCAGAGAGCTTTCCTGCTTTTGAAGATTCCTTGACACATAATCATGTGTTGTCCTGAAATTATTTTTCCAGTTATTTTATTCTTTCCTAACTTCTCTTCCCAACAAGTCTATCAGCCAATGATTCCCAACTTGTAGATCACGTTTTTTTACAGGGGTCCTTAACTCTATATACTATCTGAGTATTGTTTTTAGACTGAATTAATAATATATCTTGCACATATGTGTATGTGGACTAATTCTCAAACATATACAAACACTTGAGATAAATATAATCCAAGTCAATTGAAAGGTATTAATAAGCTCATAGTAGTTTTTAATCAACATGTATTTTTTTAAAATAGACTGTAAAACTACAACTACTTTCATGTGACACCTCTATGAAATATTCTTACACAAAAATGAGTTTTTACAAAAGGTTGGAACCATTTCTATAATTGCCTAAAGACTAAGGATCTTCAGCAATCCCACTCCCGGGTATATACACAGAAACAAAACTCTAATTCGAAAATATACATGCACCCCAGTGTTCATAGCAGCACTATCTACAATAGCAAAGATATGGAAACAACCCCCAAGGGCCCATCAACAGATGATTGGCTTAAGAAAAAAAAAATACACACACACACACACACACACACACACACACACACACTGGAATATTACTCAGCCATAAAAAAGAATGGAATAGTGTAATTTGCAGCAACATATGGACCTAGAGAATATTTTACTTAGTGAAGTAGGTCAAAAAGAGAAAGACAAATACTATATGACATCACTTATATGTGGAATCTAAAAAATAATACAAATGAATCTATACACGAAACAGAAACAAACTCCAGATGTAGAAAAGAAGCTTATGGTTACCAAAGGGGAGGAGGGAAGGAGGAGCAAATTAGAAGTATTGGATTAACAGATACAAACTACTATACCTAAAATAGACAAGCAACAAAGATTTACTGTATAGCACAGGGAATTATAGTCAATATCTTGTAATAACCTATAATGGAATATAATCTGAAAAAAATACAACTGAATCACTTTACTGCACACCTGAAATTAATTAAATATTGTAAATCAGCTATACTTCAATTTAAAAAAGAGAGTAAGGATATTGTTATTTTCTTATTTTATATCATCCATAGCATTGTACTATACTCTGTCTAAAGAAATTACTTAATAAATGCTTGATGAATACATGAATGGCCTAAAACCTACCTTATCTGCCAATAATAATCCTGTAAAGTTTTTCTGGTCAGCTGGCTTGTTTCCAAATTTTCATTTGCTAATTTGGTAGCATCCTTCAGTGCTTTAAGCTACAACAAAGAAAAAAGCTTTTTTGGTACATTTCATCCATTTGTTACCATCACGCCAATTCACCTGTAGGTCTAGGTATGAGCAGCAGAAGCACAAGTGTATAACTTTTTGTGTATTACTGTCTTGTCTTCCAAAATATATTTTATATAAGCACCTTGGGGCAGAACTGAGAAGAGCCTCAATATTTGTCTAAGAAACAAACATTATACCTTGAAACTTCTAAGTAATTAGTTTATCAATTAATATAAAGAAATGCCAATCAATCAAGATGGCATATTGAGCACAGGCATCTTATCTTCTACCTAAAATCCCATGGTTACAGAAAAGATATCTATCTCTCTATCCATATCCACTACCATCATCACAACCATACCTATACATGTATTTTATAATTATATCTACACATCCATATCTCATTATAAAAGAATAAGTGTATAACAACATAGGATAACAAGTAAAATAAAATCAGCAAAATATATGGAGGAAAGTATAAAACAGACAGAAATATCCACAGAGAATATCGACAGAGAAATAAAACCAGAGGAAACAAAACCCTAAAATGTGCAGAAGTCGTCTATCACAGTTAGCGACAGTTTGTGGCAACTCCACGACTAGAGTCAACTGATATAAACTTTCACTGGAAGACATAAGAGAAGACCTCAACAAATGTGAAGACATACTACATTCCTAGATGAGGAAACCCAATTTTTTATAAAGATAAAATTTCTTTCAAAATTAACATAACAATGCAATTACAATAAAAATGGTAATACAATCTTTTTTAAAAATTTTATTGGAGTATAGTTGATTTACAATGTTGTATTAGTTTCAGGTGTACAGCAAAGTTAATCAGTTATACATATACATATATCCACTTTTTTTCTTTTTTTAGATTCTTTTGGTAATAGGATCTTTATTTTATTTATTTATTTATTTATTTTTGACTGCTTTGGGTCTTCGCTGCTGTGCACGGGCTTTCCCAGAGGGGGCTACTCTTCACTGAGATGTGCGGGCTTCTCTTGTTGCGGTGCATGGGCTCTACGTGCGCGGGATTCAGTAGTTGTGGCTCACAGGCTCTAGAGCGCAGGCTCAGTAGTTGTGGTGCATGGGCTTAGTTGCTCCGCAGCATGTGGGATCTTCCTGGATCAGGGCTCGAACCCGTGTCCTCTGCATTGGCAGGCGGATTCTTAACCACCGTGCCACCAGGGAAGCCTTGGTAATAGGATCTTTAAAATAGAAGTTGACAAGCTAATTCTTAGGTTCATATGAAGAGAAACTCTATAAGAATATGCAAATACATCCTAGGAAAAAACCAATGAGGAGGCACTTGTCCTTACACATCATAATTTAATAATTAAACATAGTAATTAAAACAGGGCAGAAACAGACCAATATGTCAGTGGAGTAGATAGTCCTTAAATCTATGTAAATATGTGAAGCTGGTTTACAATAAAGGCAGAATTTTAAATCAGTAGAAATAATAGGCTAACCTCTTAGGGGAAAGAAATTGAGTTGAAGCCTGACCTCAGAAAACACAGATATAAACTCTAGATAGAATAAAAAGCTAGAAATTACATATCACACACACATTATTAGGAGAATATATAGAAAGACTTTTTTTTTACATCTTTATTGGAGTATAATTGCTTTACAATGCTGTGTTAGTTTCTGCTGTATAACAAAGTGAATCAGCTATATTTATACATATATCCCCATATCCCCTCCCTCTCGCGTCTCCCTCCCACCCTCCTTATGCCACCCCTCTACGTGGTCACAAAGCACCAAGCTGATCTCCCTGTGCGGCTGCTTACCACTAGCTATCTATTTTACATTTGGTAGTGTATATATGTCCATGCCACTCTCTCACTTCATCCCAGCTTCTCCTTCCCCCTCCCCGTGTCCTCAAGTCCATTCTCTACATCTGCGTCATTATTCCTGTCCTGCCCCTAGGTTCATGAGAACCATTTTTTTTTAGAGTCCATATATATGTGTTAGCATATGGCATTTGTTTTTCTCTTTCTTCACTCTGTATGACAGACTCTAGGTCCATCCACCTCACTGCAAATAACTCAATTTCATTTCTTTTTATGGCTAATATTCCATTGTATATATGTGCCACATCTTCGTTATCCATTCTTCTGTCAGTGGACACTTCGGTTGCTTCCATGTCCGGCTATTGTAAATAGTGCTGCAATGAACATTGTGGTACATGTCTCTTTTCAAATTATGGCTTTCTCAGGGTATATGCCCAGTAGTGGGACTGCTGGGTCATATGGCCATTCTATTTCTAGTTTTATAAGGAACCTCCATACTGCTCTCCATAGTGGTTCTATCAATTTACATTCCCACCAACAGTGCAAGAGGGTTCCCTTTTCTCCACACCCTCTCCAGTATTTATTGTTTGTAGCTTTATTTATTTATTTTTTTGGTACACGGGCCTCTCACTGTTGTGGCCTCTCCCGTTGCCGAGCAACAGGCTCCAGACGCGCAGGCTCAGCGGCCATGGCTCACGGGCCCAGCCGCTCCGCGGCATGTGGGATCTTCCCGGACCGGGGCACGAACCCGTGTCCCCTGCATCGGCAGGCGGACTCTCAACCACTGCGCCACCAGGGAAGCCCTGTTTGTAGATTTTTTTTGATGATGGCCACTCTGACCAGTGTGAGGTGATACCTCGCTGTGGTTTTGATTTGCATTTCTCTAATGATTAGTGATGCTGAGCATCCTTAGAAAGGCATCTTTATAATTTTGGTTTGCCAGACACTATTGGTCGCCCTTGAATACTCATTTCTCTTGGTAGGCAGAGCCCCAATTTTGTTCAGTTGCTCAATCTTCTTCCATTTATTTTAGACGTAAACCCTGATGAGTCTAGCCATTTGTAGCAATGTCATTCTTCTCGCTAGTGACTGGTTTAGGCATGATAATGTGATATAATTCTAGGCAATGAGACATGAAGGGAAATCTGCTGTGGCGTAAGGGAAAGGTTAGAGAGGGCTCTCAAAGTGAGACTCTAGGCTGCATATTGTGTGTCTGGCCAGCATGCCTTCAGCTGGAGCAGCCACTCTGTTAGTTCCCATGAGAAAAGCTAACCAAGTCAACTTTCTGAAGATGAAGATTAGAAAGAGAGAAAAGCCAGGGTCGTTGATGATATTATTGAGTCATCAAATTAACTAACTGTAGAGCTGCCCTAACTTCGGACTTTTGATACAGAAGGTAATACTTTTTCCCTATTGTTTAAAGCAATTGAGAGAGAGTTTTCTGTAAGTTGTAACCAAAGGTATGCTAATTGATACAAATCTAGAAAGCTTAGTAAGTGAACAACAGAACTTAAAATCCCCAAAGAAAAAAAGTGACAGATTTGACTTCATAAAATTTTAAATATTTCCAAGAGATAAGAAAAATGAAGTTAAAAAGCAAGAAACAGAATGGGACAAAAATATATAAAACATATTCAAAAGACATATATCTTGTATGGACTTACATCCAGTGTGTGTGTGTACATGTGTATACACGTATATGTGTATATATATGAAAACTCTTATAAAGATACACAAAGCTACAGAAAAATGGGCAAATAATATCAACTACTGGTTAGGACTCTGGGAAGTGGGGTCTGTCCTGTACTGTCAGTGGAAATTCAAACTGAAACCTTTTTTGGAAAGGCAGTTCATTACTCTCTAATAAAACTTAAACTTCATGCACCCTTACCCTTGACCAAAAAATTTCACTTCTATGAATCTAGCCTAGATTTCACTTGTGTGAAAGAAGTTTTCACTTGTGTGCTCGAATATATGGGTACAAGGATGTTCATTGCTTTATCATTTGTAATCATAAAAAGATGGAAATGACCTAAGTGTCGTGAATGGGGAGTGATTAAACATATTAAAATACAGGTATATTATGGGTCTATATATAGTGATATGGAAAAAGCTCCAAGATGCAGAATTAGTTTTAAAAAAGGAAGTTGCCAAATAATACATATGGGAAGATCCAATTTATGTTAAAAACTATCATGGCATATGTATACACACAGATACATGGAAAAGAGAACTTTAAGGCTGTAGTTCAAACCATAAGGTGAAGATTGAAGTAGGTCTTTCACACTTTGAAACTTCTACACTGAATCATTTACAATGAGAATGTACTCCTGTATTACTTGTGTAATTTAAAAAAAAACTAGAGGGAAAAATAGCAGAACGCTGCAAAGCTGAGGATCCTTTCTACTCTCTAATACTGTCTGCAGCATTTCTCCTTGTTCTTTAAGTGAGATTCATACTCACATAAAGGGACATATTCCAGTTTCAGAATTCCTTGGATGTCAGTGAGTTTCCCACTACTCTGAACTTGGTTTGAACCCACTGAGAACAAGCAGAGCCATACATTTCACACCAAGGGACTAAAAGGATACATACATTATAAATCAGTATTTTGGTAGGAGACCAATGGACACACTCTATAACACTTGGCCTTTTCTCCTCCTCCCTACTGTTCTTCTCCTCTTTCATTTTAGAAGGGCATGTACATGACCTACCAAATTTCTCTTTTTACAATTTACCAGGAAATTGGAGAAAATGTTTAGGTGCACATAACAGAATAAATTGAAGAAAAGTAAAAATCAGCTAAGAAATTACTTTGGGCTCCTAAGAATCAAAATAATAATAAAAAACATGTTACAAATAATGATCCCCAAATGTTATTTTATACAGAGAACCATGCTACATGAAAAACAAATGTAGAGTTTTTATGTACAGTAATAGATAGTACTCTAGTGAAATATAATTGACATTGCTAGATCAGACTTCAAAAATTATACAATACTGTTGGAAAACTGTCTATTAAGTAGAAATCTATAAATCAAGTCACTTTTTCAATGACCTACATCTTAATTTCAGAGTTGATTCCTTCATTCATAAAAACAATGGTCATATTAAACTAAAAGTTAGAATATTCAATATTTGTTTTCGGAAATATTCTGACCTTATTAATTCATGGTCTTCATCTGTTAAGTTCTCCCACACAATTGCTATGTGAAAATTCAATCAAATGGATTAAGTCCTGTAGTTTTTGCACTTGTATTTTAAAAGGCAGATATATTAAGGTACAATTCATTTCCAGCTTATTGGAATATCTTGGTGACTCTATAAGGTTTGAATACTTAACTAAATACCTCACTAAATATTTATTTTTAACTGTATTAATTAGCTGAATGAGACCTATCAAAATATCTTTTCAGAGAGAACACTAGCTAACAAAATGCTCATGTATCAAAAACTCAGCACAGAGTCTAGATGAGAGGGGCAAATTCATAAAAATAATCAGTGGGTACTCCTTCGATTTCTCTTCAGATTTTATGTACCCTTTATGACGTCATTAGATGACTACTTGGATCAATCATTCTCAGACTAACACTCTTCATATTTGATGAGAGATTCAAGGTCACTAATATTTTTATCAAAAATACACTTACAAGATTGAAAACAGCCATTTGGCTCTTTTAAATAGTAATAATTTCAAATATTCTTCTTGAGTCATAGGACCAAGAATACCATTGATTAGCAAACATTTATAGATGCTAAATATCCTGCAGGATATGTTTGAGGCTGCCTCCCTGGCCAGTTAATTCCTATAGTTTCTTTTCAGGAAAACTGAAATCAACCATTCTTTTATTTGATTAAATATTCAAAGTGCTAAGGGAACATATTCAATGACAGCTTGCTCTGTACTAAGAAGTCTCTTTTCTCTTTCAATATTAAAAGTTCAGCTCTGTAAATATAATGAAAACCATTCTCACCTTCTCATAAAGCAGCTGAGGTAAATTCTGTTGCTGCCTGTCCTGAAAACACTCATAAAGTTGGAGCAGCCTAGCACATAATACTTGTTCTTGATTGAAGAGAGGATGATGACTGAATTGCAAACCCACAATGTTGAGATCTAATTGGTACCTTTCCCTTTGATCTTCCATTTTGTTCCTAATAGAGCTTTCTAGATCAGATTTCACTGCCTTTTAAAGAAAAATATTTACAGGATATTAATTTTATTCTATTTCTTTTGAAATTACAAGTAACTTCTTAAAAAAGTAATATGTTAACTGTAAGAAAATTGAGATACAGAAAAAAAAACAATTATTTGCCCCTTCTTCCTCAAAATTGATTATAGCCCTTGATTTCATAAAATATATTTATACTGCAGCATTTTAATCATCTTGCTATAAATTACTGTCATCTACCTTACTATTGTGTGCTGGTAGAGGTTGAACTTTCAAGTTATAAGCCGCCAAATAATTTCCTATAGAAGCACTATGAAAAATGGTGTTTAGAACTGGTGGGTCAATAGTTCACTATGTGATGTTCTAACAGTCATCTGTGGCCAGAGTTAAATGACAAACCCTTATTAAAACATTGTTCTTAAGTGAATATGTTGGTAATTCCCTGGAAAATTCCCTGGAGGAGCCTGGACTCTCTAAGCAAATGTTACTTTATAAGGAGACCATCTTTCTTTATACATGACACTGTCTCCATTTGTAAACCAGATTGTCCCTAAATTAGTTGAAGTCCGTAGGCCTTAGATTGTATTAAAAATGATTCAACAGTGTTTTAGTACACTACTTTGAATTTAAGTACTTATGATTGAATATTCATGTGATTAGTTTTCAGTGATACAGTTTGAGAAGGTTAGTGGGTTACTTAGCACGTACAGCTTAATTCATGAATGGCTAGCCACTCCTGATTTGAGCCATGACTGCAACCACCTAAAAAAAACAGCATGAGCTCTTTCTAGATCAATCTGTAGTAGTAGAACATACCCTCCAGTCTGTGTCATTGCTATTACACCTGTTATTACACCGAAAAAACTGCTGTCCCACCCCTGATCTGGTGTGGCATATCCAGTGCTTCTCAAGGACTGTAGGTCACCAGGATGATGCCTACATCTCTCCCTCCTTCCTCTCTCCTGAGCTAGGAATCTCCTTCTTTTTCCTCTCTGGGTTGAGGGGAGGCAAGAAAATAGTCATAAAGCTTGTTTTTGTTTTATCCTTATATTGTAAGTCTCTATTCTCAATGTAAAGGCCAACTCAGAAAGGGAAACCTGCACTTAATTCCACCTATAAAATTTAGTAATCAGTAGTAAATTGGTCATTAACCAGGCAAAACCACCAAGGAAATAAACAGTTTCCATTTTAAAGAACCAAATTATAACTGAATAATTTTGGAAATTCAAGTTGCTAAGCTAGAGATGCCTGTCTTATTAAGCAGATTCAGTACTGGACGAATAACCATGTTGCTTACTTGCTTTGGGTTTCTACTGGAATAACACAAACCTCTGCCCCCGGATCTGTCCTATTCAATACCTACTGATTGTGGTGCTCAGATGCTAGAGAAGGGTAACTGAGATGGCGGAATATCCAACAGCAGTCAAAGGAAGCAAGTTTAGACTGGAAAGCAAAAGCTAAAGGTGGAAGTAGGCTTCAAATATTTGAAGAGCTGTCACATAAGTGAAGCAGTTTATGAGTTCTTTATGGCCAAAGTCAAAAGAGCAATAGTGATCCAGGAGACAGATTTTAATTCACACAGAAAACAATAAACAATTGGAACTGCCTAATACTGGAATGAGTTCTCTTGGGAGATAGTAAGCTCCATGACACTGGTTAAAAGCAGCAGTTGACTGAAGGAATTATGTGAACTTCTAGAACGAGGTAAGTGTGTTAGACCATAAGAACAAAGATCTAGGCAACAATGAATCAAAAACCAGATGAAAGTACAAAAACATCCATGCTGTTACATGGCATAACAAGTTAAGAAAACAGATTTTCAGAGACCCAGATATTGGAGTTTGATCAGATATGGACTTTAAAGTAGCTTTATTATTGTGTTTTAAAAAGAGTAAAAGATAAAATACATGAAAAGATGAGAAGATGAAAACATGGAGCATTCCACAAGAAAACTGGAATATATACAGAAGAATCAAATGTCAAATGAACACTTTGAAGCTAAAAATATACTGAAAATATCTAAAATTAAGAATTCATTAGACGGGTGATTCTGGAAATATAGTGGCCATATAGTTTTAGATCCAGGCATACTTCATTTCATTGTACCTTGCTTTATTGTACTTCTCAGATGTCGTGTTTATTTTTTACAAATTCTTTAATTTGTAAAACTTGATTCATGGCAACCCTTTGTTGAGCAAGTCTGTCAGCACGATTTGTCCAACAGCATTTGCTCAATTCCCGTCTCTGTGTCATATTTTGGTACTTCTTGCAATATTTCAAACTTTCTCATTATTATATTTGTAATGGTGATCTGTGGTCTGTGATCTTTTTTTATTTTATTTTATTTTATTTTTTGGTCTGTGATCTTTGATGCTACTACTGCAAAAAGGTTATGACTCCCTGAAAGCTCAGATGACAGCATTTTTTAGCAATAAAGTATTTTTTAATTCAGGTATGTACATTGGGGTTTTTTTAGACATAATGCTATTGAATACTTAATAAACTACAGGGTAGCATAAACGTAACTTTTACATGCACATGTATAAAATCCAGGTAAATGTATAAGAGGAATGCCAGAAGAAGGAGTAAAGGGCATATAGTAAATAATTAGGCAAAACTAGTCAACAAAAAACAAGCAAATGAGACCTGGGGTAATAGAGGTATGACAGAGTATTAAAGTACCTGGCCGAGGCAACAGCAAAGAGAGGATTTTGATACTCAGGGAGCTATTATCTCTGCTTCAATGGCCCTTATGTTATTTTTATTCCAGTGAGAAACCCCAAATGAACCTTGCCTCCATGGCTGGCTGAGCAGAGTAAAAAATGTAGAGAAGATAGAAGGGAAAGGCAGGCAGAGGCATTTGTGTGGCACTAATTTGAGAACATTACCTGTTAAGGATGCTGCTACAGAATGAATTTTAATACTCAGTTTACATGCTTGGTGAAGTGACATTTACATTTATTCCCAACTCTAAGAGTCCATGAAATACTGAAATTAGCTTGGATGAAGCTAGAACAGACGCAGTTGAGGAAAAATTACTTGTTCAGCCCAGTAGTTTCCAATTTGGGATTCCAGATGGTTACAAAGGTTAATCTGGATAGTGGTTAATGTTTATCCAAAAATTATATTTTCTGCATTTACTTATCATTGCTTTGTTCATTCAGTTATTCATGCACTCACTCATTCATTCAGCAAACTGCCATTGTTTCAAGGATCTCCTTCTCCAAGAGCAATGGTCTCCGATAATTATGTTAAAAGATCTGTGCTATATCTTGAGCAAAATTTAAATAAAACACACTGTCACCATAACATGCAAAAGTTATGCCATGTAACAGCAAAAAACAAGATAAAATAAATACCAGGGATTTCCCTTCCTTCCTCTTTTATCCTTTTATTTTTAAATTTTTTAATGGAGATGGATTTTATAGTAACCAAACTGGGGAAAAACGGAAAGATATTGCACTGTTGGGTGGGGGTGAGGGGGTCATTTATAAAATCTTGGTAAATGTGTTATACTATGAATTACGATGAGGCAGAGACATTGCCAGGCTCTCATGGTGTTATAGGCACCATGGAGAAAACAGGATTTTCTAAGATTATGCCAGTCAACTGGTGTTTTTTTCTTCTAAATTATACAGGACCCTAAAAGCTTACATCTACTGAAGTGATGAGTTCCATTACAAATAATATAAGTATTCATTGAGTGTCTGCTATATGGTAGGCATTTGGATATGTGCTAGTGATTTAAAAAAACAAAACAAAAAGAAAACCTTACCCTGGTTACAGTCAAGCAGGGAAGAGATTAGGTAAACAGAAGACTTAGATACAGATTGAGCCTTAACAAAACTGCAACCCAGTCTGAAATCAGTTAAGTCCCTGATTGGATTAAGATGATTATCCACACTCAATATGCCTAAAAACTAGAGGAACAAACTTTTCTGCAAGAAGATATGATCTAGAGTTTCTACAACTTTTCATATATAATATATGGACTATAATAAAAAAATACCAACTATAATAAAAGACAGGACTAAAAGCGCAAAATCAAGAGAGAAGAACAAATAATAAAAACAGATTTTCAAGGACCCAGATATTGAAGTTACCAGATATGGACTTTAAAGTAGCTATTATTAATGTGTTATAAAAATAGAGTAAAAGGGGGCTTCCCTGGTGGCACAGTGGTTAAGAATCCGCCTACCAATTCAGGGGACAAGGGTTCGAGCCCTGGTCCAGGAAGATCCCAAATGCCGCAGAGCAACTAAGCCCATGCGCCACCATTGAAGCCTGCACGCCTAGAGCCCGTGCTCAGCAACAAGAGAAGCCACTGCAATGAGAAGCCCGCGCACCACAACTAAGAGTAGCCCTGACTCGCTGCAACTAGAGAAAGCCCGCACACAGCAACAAAGACCCAACGCAGCCAAGAAAAAAAAAAAAAAAAGCCATCAGCTAAAACTGTTAGAGGTTTTGTCTACTCCAGTTATGGGTTACAGCAAGGAATTCTGAAGCGGCTAGGGGAGTCTACTCCCCAGAAAATTTTATGACAAGCCTTCACACTAAAGAGAAACTATTGGAAGTGGAATAAAACTTGAGATGGTCAGGGACCACAGAGATTAATAGAAGATACAGAAAATAATCTGGGAAGGAGAATACAGCCTCTATATTGTTTAACACTACACAAAAACAACAGAATTCTGTGACATCAGAAAAGCTATCTGAAACAAGCTTTTTTCCTAAAATTTCAGGAAAATTAATTTAATATAAGAATGAACAGCAGAAAAGGCTCAAGATTAAATCTATACAAAGTTTCTATAATAAAAATGAATAAACAGTAATATAATATCCCCACAATCAAAGCATAACAGAAAGACATTCAAAAACATAAAAATAGAAATGTGGATTACAAAACAAGCCAAAAGACATTAAGAAAATTTATGACATTAAAGAACACAAACCAGAATTTGGAAAACTCAGAAATGAGGTAACAATACAGTAATAGAAATAATTTTAAAAATTTTAAGTATTTAGATATTAAGCCTAAGCTAGAAGGAACACAAAAACAAAGATCACAGAATGCTTTTTCCTTAAGGTAAAAAAAAGAGAAATCTTTTCAAGTAAAAAATAAATGAAGAAGGGGAAATAATTCATTAGATGGATCTAACAGGAGATTAAACACAGTAGAAAGTTAGCTAAGTGAACTAGAGGGCAGGGCAACAGAAAATATTCAGACTAAACTCAGAGGGAAAAAGGGATGAAAAAAATGCAAAAGCAGAAGATAAAAACGGATATGTATACTTGATGTTCCAGAACACAAAGAGAAAGAGATTAGGGCAGAAGCAGTATTTGCTAAGATAATGGCAGAGGATTTTCCAAAACGGATGCATAACATGGAGGCATACATTGAGGAAGCCCTAATAGCCCAAAGCAGGATCAATATAAAGAAAAAGCATACCTTAACATATTACAATGGAAGTCACACCTTAACATATTGTAGTAGAAAACCAAAGACAAAGAGAAAAACTGAAAACCACAGTAAGACTTTAAGCTGACTTTTCAGTAGAAACAATGAGATTCAGAAATAAGTGGAAAGTTATCTTCAAAGTGCTAAAAGAAGAATAACAACCAACCCAGAATTCTAGACCATTTACTTCAATGGTGTGCTGGAACTTCTCCACTGGACTCCCAGAATTCCATAATGGCACTCTTGTCCATGGGTGATTGTCAAAATCAGTGTTCTCTGGATAGAAAGATGGTAGAAAACTCTTATTCTGACATAATGATGATGTCAGTCTTCCAGTTTTGCTCATCTCTATCAAGATTGTTTTGGCTATTCAGGGTCCTTAGAAGTTCCCTATGAATTTGAGAATTGTTTTCCTATTTCTGTGAAAAATACCATTGGGATTTTGATAGGGATTGCATTGAATTTGTATATTGCTTTGGGTAGTATGGACATTTTAACAATACTAAGTCTTCCAATCCACAAACACAGGATGTGCTTCCATTGGACAGTCTTTTATTTTTTTTAAATATGTCTATAATAGAAAACATTCCCACAAATAAATTTCCAGGGCAAGATGGATTCAGCAGTGAATTCTCCCAAACATTTAAGGAAGAAATAACACCAATGTTATACAATTCTCCCAGAGAAGAGAAAAAGAGGGAACACACCCCAAACTGTGTTGAAGCCAGTGTAACCTAGATGGAAATCTGACAAGAACATTACAAGGAAGAAAAATCAAAGAAAAAGTTATCTCAGGAACATGTATGCAAAAGTCCTGAACAAAATATTAGAAAATCAAATTCAGTAATATATAAAAAGAAAATGTATCACAAATGGGATTTATTTCAGAAATATTTGAAAATCAGTGTAATTCACCACATTAAAAGTTAAGAAAATACTATTACACTACTTAATAGGCTTAGAGAAAGCATTTGATAAATGTCAACACTCATTCATGATAAAAATCTTTGTATATGTCTTTAATTTTAAAAGTAGGACAATTGGGCTTCCCTGGTGGCGCAGTGGTTGAGAGTCCGCCTGCCAATGCAGGGGACACAGGTTCGTGCCCCGCTCCGGGAAGATCCCACATGCCGCGGAGCGGCTAGGCCCATGAGCCATGGCCGCTGAGCCTCCGCATCCGGAGTCTGTGCTCCGCAATGGGAGAGGCCACAGTACCGCAAAAAAAAAAAAAAAAAAAGTAGGACAATTAATTAAAGCTTAAATGCATTTTGCATGGTAAAATGGTAAAAGATTTTCTTAGCAGCAAAAAGTTTTGGTGTATTTTTAGAAAATCCTGAAAGAAATTTATGAGTGGTACAAAGATATAAAAAACATACTACAACATAAGGAAGACTTGTTTTAAAATTTTCTAGTTTCTCTGGGAAAGAAACAGAAACTGTGGAGAAGAAAAGAGAGCATATATCATAAAGAAAGAAGATCCTCACATGTTACAGAAAGAGAAAGAGACCTCCAAAAGTATAAATCTCTTCAGTTTAGAGAGAAATCTCATTTCCTATGGAGGCTGAGAAGTAACAGCCTTATAAGGAACTAAGTGCTCTTGCTGTTAAAATGTTGCAGTTGCTGGAATATGCAAGAAACACAGAACTGCAACTGTAAAGAAAAAGCATTAACTACAGAAGGCATATAATTACTAGAAGAGAAGAAGTAACTCACAGGTTTAAAGCAACAGAGGGACTAGAGAATGAAGTCCTGTAAGTACAGATGACCCTTAAACAACATGGGTTTGAACTGAGCTTGTCCACTTATACACAGATTTATTCAATAATTACAGTATCTATATTTTCATTTTACAGATCTTTAAATTAACTAAGTGTGGGGAAAAGTTGGTGTTCGATCAGAGATCACAATGTGTGGAATCAAAAGAACTAGGGTTTGAGTCCTGAGTCTACCCAAACTGTCTCAGCTTCCTGCCCTTGGATGAGTAATTTATTAATTTCTTTATTTTTGAGGCAGAGAGAGCAGTACGCAGATTTTTCACTGCATGGAGTTGGTGCCCCACTGCTGCATTGTTCAAGGGTTGACTGTATTTTTAGGAAGTATTATTTCCACTTTGTATCTACCTACAGCCATATTTCCTATATATGGAATGGTTAATGCAAGTGGTTGAGAAATTAGGTTTTTGTACAAAATTCTTATTTAAACTTTTTCAAGCCAAATTTTTAACATAACTATTTCTGTCTAAATATTTCTTCTCATTAGGTTAATGGACTGCTAATTTTCATAATGTCTTTGGAATACACATAAATTAGTTTAATTATAAGTATAACATATATTCATTTCTGAAATTTAGAAAATAGAAAAGAGTATAACAAAGAAAATAAAAATAATCCTATGTCCTACTGTCCAGAGATAGTTATTAACTATGATATATTTTCTAGTCTTTTTATCTACATACACATATATGTACGTACTTATTCATTCATTGATAAATTCATTCATTCATTATCTATTTTTATAAAATTAGGATCATATGAAATTTTGCATTCTGCTTTTTTTAACTTTACATTTTATTTTGAGCACTTCTCCATATCATTAAATATTCCTTGAAAACATAATTTTAATGGATATTTAATATTTCATCATAGTTTTGCCTTTACTAGATTACTAATATCTTTAAAAGGTGAATTAACACCACAAAAATAAGTATATAAGTTATAATTGATATTACAAGAATTCTAACCATAATCATAAATAAACTGTTGTTGGTTACCTTCCTGTATATGGTCTTCAGTGCTGGATTTAAAGGTTCCTTACTTATGTTTAGTCTGAAATTCCATGACTGTCTAACAGGTGAAGGTAATGACATTATTTCTCCACTTTCTTCAAACCAACATTTCCCCTATCAAAAATATTTAAGAATATAGTAAGTAAATATTATACTAAAAACAAATGTCACACACCATAAGTGAGTGGCTTCCCTTGTTAGCTAGTGAACTTGCCTCTTCTAGTTTAAGCAGGCGATTTTCCATTTTGTTGCAGGTCTTTTTATATATTTCTGGCTTTTTGTGAACATAGAATCCTTCTTCTTCTAAAATGCGTGGCATCGTATCTTCTGGCAGTTTAAGTTGGTTGATCACTTAATAACAAAACCTAGATATTACTTTAAAGTCCAAAATATTAAACTGGTATTGACCAAACAAGAAGCAAAAGGGAACTATCATATACTCTACCACTAAAGCCTAGCAGAAAGTCTATACACACACACACACACACACACACACACACACACAATGAATGAGCTTTTTAAACCAATTCCCTTTAACTCAGAGAAAGCATGAAGAAGAAATATAGAAAAATTTCTATAATTTTAAATCAGTACTTTTTATCTATCCAGCATACAGAGAAGCTATTATCCTACAATATGATTCATTAATGACTTGAATATTTTCTTGTAAAAACTTTACCTGGAGAATTGCTTGGAACAAAAATATTTGCCTGTTGTTTTTTCACTTGTTCTTGATCATCTTCATAATCGGCAGCCTTTACTTCAAGGAAATCTAGGAAAATGACTTCTTCCATAAAATCTTCATCTCGGCCCTCAGCAAAGTTTTGTAAATTATCACCAAGTGAAACGTGTTTGTGGTAGCTATCATTTACTGGTCTCTGTTGAATAACAAAAAGAAAACCAAGTATACGTGTTTGTCCTCAATGATTAACAGGCAGATAAATGAAAGGTACTAGAATCTTGCTGTGAAGTCTTTCTGATCTATGCCACCCAGTTCAAGTTCAAGCTGAAACTGTGTGACAATTAAATTTCATTGAACACAGAGGAACTCACTTAAGGCTTAATATTATAAAATATGATTTTTCTATAGCCCTTCATTGAAATTCTCAATGAAAGACTACTGAAAAAGAACTACAATTCAAGTCTCTCCTCTCCTATGGAAAATGTTCTGAAATATTGGACTATGATATTTCAACTGTTGAGAATTCACAGTGCAGGGCAAAGTCTAGAGACATCAAGCCATGTGGTCTTCAGCCCCATTTTTTTCCACCATTCAGAAAGAAGTACTACCTAAGGTGACGTAGAGTAGTCATGCTGTTTTCTGGATGATATTTAAGAAAAAAAAGAAAGAAAAGTAAAGATACAAATAGAAGTCTGTGGCAGTGTGACTGATTATGATACATTTCTGAAATATGATATATAAAAGTTACAAACAATCTGAATGTAGATATTGAAACAGATATATTACTAAATATAAAAATGTATACTTTTATATTATATCAGAAATTTTATATGAGTCTCTTCACAAAAAATATTACCAATTTATTTTGGATGACTTTAGTTGTCTAACTTAAAATCTACATATGTTGAAAGAGAGAAGGAGACAGAGTATGTGAGTCATGCAAATAAAAACACCTTAATTTTCAAAAACATACATTTAGGGGTAAATAACTAAATTAAAAGAATTAATAATAGAATTCCATTGAATAGATAACCGTAGATGGCCTTGATCAACTCTGACAAAATTAAGTGAGTAACATGGTTAAGCATCACTTAGGTTTATATCAAGTCATCACATCATCATACCTTCCCTATATCCCTGTCATGAAATCAAGAAAGTATTTTATATCGAGAAATCTTTGTGGCAACATTTTCAGAAGTCAAACAAGATATGACACTGACACCTAGGAGCAAGATTTGGGGGATCTTCACATAGGGGATCTCTTTGAATATTCCAATCATAGACAAAGAGGGGCTCTTTGCTCCTGCTGGAGGTCCCATTACCAAGCTACTTTCACCACACCCCTGGTGCGGGTCAGGGCTTTCAACCTGCCTTCAGAGCTGAGGTCTGCCCTGATGGCTGAGTCATGTCAGGCTCTCATCTTGGATCCCAGCCTTTTATTTATGACCATGTAGGTCTCTTTCATGAATCCTACCCCACTACAGCTACCTATATTTTTAGCCTGAGACAAGCTATGAGCTCAACCAATATAATCACCTTCCTGGTCTTCACTATGCAGCTCACAGCAGACCAGTGTCTGTGCTGTTAGCTGTTGTGTGACAGGAAGCATGAGGTCAGAAGGCAACCACCTAATTTTCCATGCATAAGTCTAAATGAATGCACCTGAGTATGGTGTGGTAAAAAGAGAGACAGAGAGAGAGAGAGACAGAGAGAGAGAGAGAGAGAGAGAGAGAGAGGGAGAGAGGGAGAGAGGGAGAGAGAGAGATTCTCCCCTTTCTCCTAGTAGGAAGGAGCCACAGTCACACTCAGCCTCCCACAAAACAGTAGCTTTCTCCTCCCTGTGATGAGGACAGTAGATTCCCATTGTCCCCAAATTTACCAGGTGCAGGGCAGATGGCTTTTCCAAACAACTTCTCTAAACAACCCACATCCAAGCCTGGACTTCCTTGTGCCCAAACAGTCTACTTGCCCCACTGACCTAATTTCTCTCATGTCTTCCCTGTGAGAAGGAAAAGAAGGAAAAGCAGCCATAACCACAGCGCTTCGTCCTGGTGCACTCTGCTGGGTGGACCTTCTCGTTTCCCCTGAAAAGTCCATTCCTTAACCCATATCATGGGATTCTGGGATATCAAGTGACTTGGCAGAGCATGTGCATGTTTGATACTCATTTATTCAATATTCACTCAAATATGGAGTGCCTGATATGTTCAAGGAAGAAAATAAACAAAGAGACAGAAATACATGCGAGGTGGTGATAAATGACATAAAGAAAAATGATGCAAGGTAAGTGGCTAGAGAATACTGGGATGGGGGTTGGGGGTTGGGGGTTGGGGGGTTGGAGGTAGTATTACATAAGGTTTTCAGGCACAGTAATTTTAATTATGTGTCATTTGAACAGAGACCCAAAGGTAGTGAGGGAGAGAGCATGAGGATAAGAGAAGAGCTTTCTAGACAGTTAAAAGGTACAAAGTCCCTGAGGCAGGAACAGGAAGGAGGCCAGTATGGCCGGAGTTGGGTGGAAGAAGGGGAAACTAGTGAGAAAGGAAGTCAGAGAGGTACTAAGGGGGCCGTGGAAGCCCCTATAAGGACTTCAGCTTTTTTTTGAGATAGGAAACCATTAGAAGGTGTTAAAAAAAAAAGTTCTGTCTTAGATTTTAACAGAATCACTCTGACTACTGTGTGGTATACCAAATAGACTGTTGGGGCAATAGTAAAAATAAAGGGAGACTATGGCAATGCTCTGGATGAGAGGTTACGGCCGCATAGGCTAGGCTGTGCCAGGTAGGTGATGAAAAGCGGGCTGGGTTCTGGAAGTGGGTTGGATACTTTGAAGGTAGAACCAACAGGATTTGTGACAAACTGGATATGAGGCATGTGAGTAAAAGAGGATCCAAGGATGACACCAAGGTTTGGCTGAGCAATTGGAAAAATGGAATTGCTATACTGTGATTCTATTTATATAAAAGTCTGTGTGTGCATATATGGGTATAAGCATAGAGAACAGTATGAAAAAATGGTAATAGTGGTTTATCTCAGAGCAGTGGGATGTCACATGATTTTTATTTTCTTCCTCATGGTTTTCTGCATTAAGTTTTTATAATATATATAATAAATTTGTTATATTTTTTAAAGATAAAGCTCTTTTCTGTGGAACAAACAACAACAAAAGGAACGTAAAGACTGGAGCAGGATACAGGATACAAAGAAAGGGGAATGGAAGAGACTGAGAAATAAGTAGAAAGGCAAAGCGGGGTCCAAGAGAAATTCAAAAGGAGGACCTGAAGGATTTGGAAATGACTGGGAGGTGTCAGAAGATACTGGGTAGAACTCTGGAAATACAGGAGGGGGCTCAAGGAAACTGTAGAGAGATCTGAAGGTAGAGAGGAATGGAGAAAGTTGAGAGGAATAGGAGCAGAAGGGAGACCAATGAGACTGACAAATCAGGAGATGGGAAAGACTAGTGAGACTGATTAGGACTGGAGGAAAGGACGGCCCTAGAATAACAGTGGGGCTGAAGAGTTTGGGAAGAGCTGACAGAAATTAGAAGGGTCTGGGATTGTACAAGGAGGGATGAAGAATGGGGAATCAATGAAGAGTAATAGAGATTACAGAGAACAACATGGGCACTTGGAGAAATGAACAGGAAGAACAAAAGAAAACACAGGCTTTGGAGCTGATAGCCTGTACTTCCCGGCTCTATCAGTTCTTACCCCTGTGTGCCTATTTCCTCACCTATAAAACAGAGATGATAATAATGCCTACCTCACAGGGTTATTATGAGGATTGAATGAGATAATCCACATTAAAAATTTAGAATATCACTGGGCATCCAGTAAGCACTCAATAAATGTTAGGAATTATTATTATGAACAGCTTCTCAATTCAAAGAGAAGGCAGCTCAATAATAAAAATTTCACCTCCCATCAAGTATTTCATTCTATGCCTTTAATAAAGAGTTATTTTTCCTGAGAATGAGGATGTAGGAGGAAGGGAAACAAATCCAACCTGCTCTGCAGACTGGCCTAAAGTTGAGTCTTCACCACTCAGAATAAAACACGAAAGACCTTCATCCAGTGAGACTTCAGTCTGCAGGTTAAACAATGGAAAACCAGTATTGCAGTGTTGAAGTGAGAGCTTCTTCTGCTTTTAAGGGAAAGAAGTAGTTTTCTGTAATATGGTAATAGTAACTGTATCTTATTCAAGAACAAAAAGCAGTACGAGAGATAGTATCAAGTTAATATTTAACTTTGAGTCTGTTTGGCTCATGAATTATTTTTGTATTTTGTTTTGTTTTTAAGGTCCGGTAACTGTGATTTTAAAAAAAAACAAAAAAACAATAAAATTGCAGCATTATTTCCAATAGCCAAGGTATGGAAACAACTTAAGTGTCCATCAACCAATGAATGGACAAAGATACACACACACACACACACACACACACACACACACAATGGAGTACTATTCAGCCATAAAAAGAATGAAATCTTGCCATTTGTGACAAAATGGATGGCCCTTGAGAGCATTATGCTAAGTGAAATAAGTCAGACAGAGAAAGACAAATACCATATGCTCTCACTTATCGGTGAAATTTTAAAAAAGCAAAACAAAAAATCAAGCTGACAGATACAGAGAACAGACTGGTGGTGAACAGAGGCAGGGGGTGCAGGGGGCAGTAGGCAAAATGGGTGAAGGGGGTCAAAAGGTACAAACTTCCAGTTATAAAATAAGTAAGTCTTGGGGATATAATGTACAGCACAGTGACTAGTTAATAATGCTATATTGCATACTTGAAAGTTGTCAAGAGAGTAAAACTTAAAAGTCCTCATCACAAGAAAAAAAAACCTTTTTTTTTGCAACTATGTATGGTGACAAATGTTAACTAGACTTATTGTGGTGATCGTTTCCCAATATATGCAAATATTGAATCCTTATGTTGCACACTTGAAAGTAATATAACATGTCAATTATATGAAAGTAATATAATGTGTCAATTATATCTCAAGTAGAAAATTTTTTTAATTAAAAAATTAAAATATAGGGTCCAAATCTTCTCCATCTTCCCAATCTATCTCTTCACTCTAGTCAGAGTATTGAGAGCATTACCTTACAGTTAGATCAAAAGGTGGACTCAGGGCAAACTCTTTTTTCTCTCCCTGTTTTTGGGTGTTCTCAGGTATGAATGCACTCACATACAAGTACCACCTCACCCCACCAATGATCTTTTGTGAACTTAGAAATAATAAAAAGTATTAAAAGTGGCATATTCTTAGTGATGAACTTGCTTGTAAATAGGCTCTCATTTTTCAATACTGTAAAGTCTGAATCTTTCAAATATAAATCGCCTATCACTTCTTTGTCACACACTTTTAAATGGACTGTTTTTAGAGAGGTTTGAGAGAGGAATCGGAAGGAAGGAAGGGAGGGAGGGAGGGAGGGAGGGAGGAAGGAAGGAAGGAAGGAAGGGAGAGAGAGAGAGAGAGGGAGGGAGGGAGGGAGGGAAAGAAAGAAGGAAGGAGGAAATCTGCTAGTTCCTAGGAACTGAAGAATCCAAAAATATGTAAAATACAAAAGCTTATCCTACATCCTGTTTGTATCTACAATATCACTGTCCCATTAACTTTAAAAGTTATGTACCTTTCAACAATACTGATATATAAACTGTCCATATATACTTTTACTTCCCTCTGTCTCTGCTCATTGAAAAATCATTTGCTAAAATCCTCAACTTCCTGAGCAGACATCCCTTCCTAGTAGTTTGTAATGGAAACTCTTAGAAGCCAATTTCTCTTCCTTTTTACCTCTTTTCTTGATATTCAGTGGACTTATCTTGTCAAACTTCCAATTTTTTACTATTCATAGTTAAATTAAATCCAAGTTAGGCTCAATTTTATTCATTTGTTGAATGAACAACATGTATACAATCATCTTTTTTTAGTCTGCTTTTACTATTAAATTTAATTAATTTTTACTAAGCACCCAAGAGGGACCCTGTGGAGAAGACAAAGATGAGTTTTTTAAAAACCCGAGATACACTCCTTACATTTTAAAATTTGAGAGTATTTTTTAAATACTCTCATTGCTTATGGAAGAAATGACTAGTTGTTCATTGCTGTCTTTTCTCCCATTTCTAATAATAGAACTTACTTTTAGCTGGATATCGAGACATTTTTTCCCACATTCCTTTAGTGGAAATAATGTGTGCAATTTTCAGGTCTTGTCCTGTAAGAGATCAATCTGCAATCCTATGGCTCTCTTCCTCCTCCCTCCCCTTTGGTTAGCAAATGAAGACACAGCAGCTTTGCCATTGGACTCAGAGATGGAAACTAAGTGTTGAAGATGGCAGAACTCTCCTAGTAGCCTGGACTACTTATCTATTACACTAGAGAGAAATAAAACTTCTATCTTAATTAAGACATTTTACTTTGAATCTTTTTGTTAAAGCTGCTTAGCCTTTACTCTAATTAATGCAGTTCACCCAAGATGTGAGTGATTTTGTCATTTGAAGTTCCAAATATGTGATTACACATTGTATTTCAGAACAAAATTCGGGGATCACCTATAATATTTTATTATAATTTTTTAAGATAAGAAATAATGTCAAGTAGAAATAGAGAGTGATTAAATATTGGCATGAGAGATCTTTTTGGAGTGACAAAATGGTCTAAAATTGGATTATAATGTTGATTATATATTGTGTAAATTTACTAAAAATCACTGAATCATACGCTTAAAATGGATGAATTTTCGCTATGTAAAGTACACCTCAATAAATCTGTTCTAAAAAGTTTTTTAAAAAAATTATTCACCTTAGACCACTGACATATCTTATCATCAATGAGCAGCTGAGTTGAAGATTTTTTGCCTTGATTAATCTGAAACACAATGTAAATAAATAGTATGGAAAACTTAATGTTCACAGATACAGACGTAATCGTGTTTATAAGTCTTTTGCCCAAAATGGATAAAAACAAAGACTTCTCAAAGTTTTTCTTTTAAAAAGTATACATGTTTTCTCCTGAGATGTCAAATTTAGTTACCATAACCAAATCACTTAACTTTTCTTGGCTTCAAGTTTGGAAATAGAAAGCATGGAAAATAACTTGAAGCTTTTTGGATTTAAGGAGCTATATTAAAATAGAATTTTAGCTCTTTTTTGATAAAGAAAAGTTTATCATGATATATGTTGATTTAAACAGTAAATTTGAAAATAGGAAAGAAAAAGTAATATTACCTTGGCATTTTTTAGCTTTTCTCTTACTTTGCCTCTCAGAGTTTCTATTATGTTTTGATTTTCTTCCACATTTAAATCTATCAAGAAGCCAACATAATATGGAGTTCATGATACTTTCTTATAATATAATTAAACAGCAACAGCATCAAAAGTACTTATTAAATAGCTAAATAGCATACATTTCTTTGGATCATGACAATTATGAAGACTGGATCATTGCCCCATGAGAGCTTAGAACCTAGAAAATAAAGCTTAGAAACTTCCCCCTCTTCCATCTGGAATAAATACTCATGCATGGTCAGGACTGAATTTTGTAGTGAGGCTAAAAAAAAAAAAAAGGGTTCAGGTAAGCAAACCTTCATCTTTTTCCTTTTAGGAAAAAAATCAATGAAAACAGTAATATTCTATATAAAGTGCTCTACAGTCCACAGAATATACAAATATCAAAACCAGCTTACTTCAACTTGATTAAACTGAAGAGAAAGGAATCTGAAAAAAAGAGAGGTAAGTCTCCAAGCATCCATTCTAACTACTTATGTCAGTTTTGTAAATTCAGTATAATACTGCCAGCTCTTAGAGGAAATGAAACAGTCTTGCTGGGTATAAAGAAGGCTCCAGCTGCTATGTGTACTCCAAGCCTCATGTTATTTTCTTCTCATCCACCAGATGATCTACTGTATGGATTGAGAAAGACAGGGGTTATGCAGTCCTAGGTACAATGGAAAATGGAGGACCTACTGGTCATTTTGCCTTGTATTTTTCTTTTTCGTCTCCCTGCCTTTGAGTAGTTAAAGGTTAAATAGAAAATGGTGGAAATAAACGGTAAGCATAAAGCTAAATCAGTATAGGTCATGAGAATCTTCATTCTTAATTGCAGTATTCCATGATAAAATTTAAAAATTATTAGTTGGTTTGTTTATACTCTATTCCCAGAACTTAGAATGACAGATGGCACATAGTAGGTGCTTAATAAATATTTGCTGGATAAATGAAGCAGGAGTCAACCATTATTTATATACTTTTCTCCCTGAGACCTGGAAACTTCCTGAAACAGGTTCTATATCTCTGTATCTTTATGGTGTAACATAGTCTGAAGAACAAGAAGATTCTCCATGTTTGCAGAGAGAGAAAGAGAAAACAAAACTTAGTTTTATTACATGCACTGACTTTACCATTATTTCCTTATACCCACTTGTATTATATAGGAAGTTTAGTTTCTGTTTGAACTTATCCCTTAAGAAACTGTGTTCCCAAATGAAACCCTGGGATAGGATTAGTCATTTATATCTTTTAAAAATTAAGTCCAACAGTATTAGAGCTGTGGTATACTTATTGAGAACCTTTCTGGAGATGATTGTCTACATTTTCTTCTACTGCAATGTTATCTGTGTCTTCTGACATCTGCAAAAAAAGGGGGGAAGGGTTACCTTGTATCTTTTTGTTTTGGCATTTAACATCTTTTCATAGGTTTATCAGCCCTTTGAAAGTCATCTCCTTTAAAATGACAATTCATATCCTTTGCCTGTTTTCTTAAATTTCATCCTTTTATCAATGGGTATGAGCTCTTTATATATGACAGATTTTTTAATTAAAAAATTGCTCTCTGTAATATCAAAAAGAACCTTTTAATGATAAAATCCAGTAGATAGTTGTTGGTGTTCATATACTGCCTACTTCATATACCTTTTAGGAGGGTCAAATGAGATCAAACATATGAAAATACTTTGAAACTCAACACTATATCAATGTTAGCTATTACTTGAGTACTCTGTAGCATCTGATAACTTTCTAAAAGCTTTCTATATCCTTTTCCTCTACCCTTATACCTCTCTGGCCACTTATTCCTTGTATCCTTTCTTGGTCACACTTCTCCTCATAGCCTAAATGTGGGCACATTCCAAGGATTTGGAGAGTGCATGGATTCCCATGGCTTCCCAAATCTGTCTCCAACCTTGACTGCTCTCCTGAATACCATATTTCTAGTTGCCTACTGGTATTTCTAATTGAATGTACTACCATTATCAAAAATTCAATATTTTAAAATGAACATTTATTTCTTTTACCACTTTTTAAACCTCAATATTCTAAAATTAAACCATACTAGCAACATTAAATGTTTTTTTAGAACAATATGGATAAGTTTTTCATTTTAAGTTGAAAAAATAGAATAGCAAAAGACTCCTTAAATAACAACTGTACATGCTAACCAAACTAATGTGCAGTTGGAATGGGAAGAGCAAGCAGACACACATCAGATTTCCAATCACAGTAAAAACATGGATTCGTGTCAAAAGCCAAAGCAGGGTATACTGACATGATCACAGTAAGAGCTTAGTCTATAGACCTTCTGAAAGAACTCCAAATCCACCAGTGGCTCCTGTACCACACTTAAGAACTACTGAGTAAGTTCAGTATGAACTAAGATGTTCTGTTCTTACTAAACCTTCAGTATTTTCCTCAACAAAAGTAAAAATACCTAACTTCACTCCTGACCAAGGAGACAGTAACCCTTGAAGGTGTGACAGGACATCAACCCCAGCAAGTGATTGATAGATGTCTCCTTCAATTCCCAATAATCTCACCCAGCATTCTGGATATACTTTTCATAACTTCCCATCCCCATCTAGAAGGCAGGAATAAAACATGAATCTTAATTGGAGTTACTCTAGGTGACACGTAGATACCAGTCCTAAAAATGTTTCACTCATTCATTGATTTAAAAAAGAAAAACTTTTTCTTTTTTTTTAGCAAAGCAGGAAATGGATTGTTAGCTGGTTGAGAGAACAGAGAAATAAATATTTAAATAAGGGAATAAATAGATAAATATATAAACAACTCACCTGTAATACTTTATTACATAATTGACAGACCAAAGAGTATAACTAATCTGTAAACTCTCTTATTATTTTTTAACATATGAACTATACGATTTGTATATAGAACCAAATATATCACATTTTTTCAAGATTCTCTTACATTTACAATTGAGCTATTTAGTATAATCAAAATCCTTATAAACTCCATTAATACCTTACTTTTCTAAAAATATCTTCTTTTCTCTTTGAAATCTTTTTCATGATGGTTCTTTCATTTCCACCTTCTAAATAAATAAGAAATATTTTTAAGAATTATATATCATATTACTGAGAGAAAACAATTATTTTGATGCTTGAGATAAACATGCTATTTAAATTTTTTAATTTAACTAAAAACTAAACAAAGAAACACACTATTGCCTTTAGTATTTAGTTGTTGATCACCTTTAGTATTTAATAGAAATTCTAGTTAGTCCAATAAGACATGTAAAAGAGTTAGAGGTAAAACTATTGGAAAGGAGACAACAAACTGATTCTTTTGTAGAGGGTAGGTTTTATACATAGAAACTCCAAGACATTCAATCAAAAAACTTTAGAAAAAATGAGAAAGTTGATAAGTGGCAGAATACAAGAGAATGTATGGCAAAGTTAACAGCTTTCCTATATGCTAGAAATATAATAGAAAAAAAAATCACTTTCATAACAGCAATACAAAACTTTTTCAAAATACATAGGAATAACTTCAATGAAAATATTTGGGATCCTCCCCCCCCAAAAAAGTATAAAACTTTACAGTGAGAAAAAAATCTGATTAAACAAAGAGATACTCCCTGGAAGCAGGAAAACTAGTTAAGAAGCCATTATAATAGTCCTGATGAGAGATTCTGGAGACCTGAATCCAAAAATGGAAGATGGAGATTCAGTTAAGGGGTAGAATTCACAGAATTTGGTGAGCAACTTGATGTGTAGGACAAAGTGAGGAAGAAATCAAGGACTCTAAGGTTTGGGCTTGAGTAACTGAGAGGTAGTATCATTCTGTGTATTGTCGAATATAATTGGGGAAGGAGTTAAACAGTTCAGTTTTCAGAGGCTGCTTATGGGACATTAAGGTGAGAGGTCCAAAAAGTGATTAACAATACTGAACTGACTTGGAGCAGAAGAGAACCAGTTCTAAGTTAGCTAACTCCTTTGTTTACTCAGTAAAAAAAAGCATTTAAGAGATTGATTCCATGACTCTTGAAAAGAATCAACACCTTTAAGATTTTTCCCACCAACATACCAAGAATGGACACAACAGGAATAGAATGTTGGGAAAAGAGAAGTTTGAATTTACTTTCCACTCTGCAAGAACTTCTAAAATGAAAAATGAACTTCAAATCAGTACCTGGCTTACTGATGCCTACACCTGCAAATTTTATCTGCTAAAGCTAGGGAAAACATTAGCAGTGACACATCCTATAGATAGTTAAATTATAATAAATTATTAAATAAAAATCTTATTATAGAAGAAATTATTAATCACGTTTTTTGCAGACCTGTAGATGTTTCTAAACTAGTTTATTTATCGTCTCATAAATACTATAAGATAAATAAATGATTATAGGCAAAATAGTAGATAAAATTGAAGATCTGGATGAAAATTGCATTTGCCCTATCGAAAAATCACATGCGGAAGCAAGGAAAAATTATGACTCAGACTTCCACCTTCTTACAGAAATTCAACTTTCTGTATTAAAAAACTGGCTCCAACAGTTAAATCCAATATTCTCTTCAAGAATATTGCTAATTTACAGTTCTTGTAGTTACAGCTTTTTCTAAAAGACAAGGAAATTGAAGATTAGCTATTTTTGTATCAGATTAACTGGAGGTCCACAGTCAAAGCCTGAGAATTAAAGTGAGGTAATTCATTCAACCTTTTCTGGTCCATACCAAACAGAAGGCAATTTTTATAAGTGTTTTATAAGTATAAATGTTTGCCTCTTGCTTAGCATGTAGAAATCTCTGGGTTCTGCAAATACATCCAGCAATGCCTTTATCACTATGGTGATTCCTGAAATAAAATTTCCTAAAGCCTATTCTATGTTGTGTGTAAATTTAACATTCAACCACCTGCCACTTGGTTTCAGGAGTGTTAGCAGAACAAAATTACAGGAAAATCTCTAGTGTATGAAATGATCACAAAATGCATATTCTGGTATCTAATAATATTTCTTTGGTTAAGTATAAACTAACTAGAAATTTGTTTTTCCTTCAGTTTTTCCCCAGCTCTTGTTGAAAATAACTTCAAATGTATTAATCCACTTTTCTTCCTTAGCAGAACAGAATTCAGTCCAAAACCCAGTTTCATCTTTATCTTTGTTCATTTATTGTCACATAGTATCATGAATCTTTTCTGAACTCCCTTATAGCAATGTTTGACAAATCATGTTCTCCCAGATTTCTTTGATTTGAATGGGGGTGCTATGCCAAAAAATTAGTCTCATTCAAAGTTATGATAAAGTTAAAGCAATGGATAGCAGTTTTTCAAATTAAAATTTATTAAATACATGTCACCAGCTACCCTTTACTGGTACTGGGATATGGAAAAGGTGGAACTTAACCAAAATATTCCACAATTAAGTGTAACACAGCATTATTTCACATTGTTTCATGAAAACTATCAAGATTCCCAGGTGTTCCATTACCTAAGTTTGAAATTTAATATCTTTTAGTTAACTGTGGTCTTATTTTCTAAACTGAAAACCGAGGAACCAACAGTCTGACAAAGAATTTTCTGATCTGTGAATTTGTACACATCTTTGAAAGGCATCAAAACTAAATCATCCACTGCTCTCAGGACTAAGTCGGAAATCATCACAACCTGCTTCTGTAGGTCAAGAAAGGCTGGATCCACTTCCCTTGAAACTTCTGGTATATAAAAATTGAGGGCTTCCCTAATGGTGCAGTGGTTAAGAATCAGCCTGCCAATGCAGGGGACACGGGACTCTATCCCTGGTCCGGGAAGATCCCACATGCCGAAGAACAACTAAGCCCGTGCACCACGACTACTGAGCCTGCGCTCTAGAGCCCGTGAGCCACAACTACTAAGCCCACATCCCACAATGACTGAAGCCTGCACGCCTAGAGCCCGTGCTCCGCAACAAGAGAAGCCACCACAATGGGAAGGCCACGCATTGCAACGAAGAGTAGTCCCCACTCGCAGCAACCAGAGAAAAGCCCGCATGCAGCAACGAAGACCCAATGCAGCCAAAAATAAAATAAATTTAAAAAAAATTGAATAAGTGACAAAACAAATTATAAAAACTGTAGTATATTTTGAAACATTATATCCAACACACAATGCAATGTAATTTTGCTACCCACAAGTTCATCATAGGATTGATAAAAATGTATTAATTCATAGAGCAACAAGGGCCATGAGGTCCAGAAACTGGACACAAGTAAGTCCTGTGGTGTTATCTTTTATTTAAACCTGAAGATGTATCTTGGGTGCCTGTACTTATATAGTATCCACTGGAGAGAAACTCAAAACAAAGGCCCTTTCTGTAAGTGAGGGCAAAAGACGCTTGTGTCCACTTCCCCACCTAAGCCTTGCTCACCACTCTCTCATAAACCTTCAACTATACCCAGACCAAACTCTTCTTTATACTCCCCGCAATTCCATCATTTGATTTTTCCAGCTTCTCCCGTAATCTAGAGCATTCCACATTTCAAAGCCGGATTCAAGCCCCACATCTTCCAGGAAATTTTTTTCTGACTCCGGTCCTTCTGGGACCTCCACTAGCAATAATAATACGTAGTTTTTGTTCATTACAGTCTACCTTACAAGGCCACTTGCTGCTTACCCTACAGTGGGCTGGGGCATGAACTCATCTTCTTCTACCCTCCACCAATCTTAGCAAGGTATTCAGCACACAGTAGGGACTCGATAAATAATACGGACCCGGATTCGAAGTAAATCAACCACTGCTCTCGAAAGCTATATAATGGAGTTGTTCTCAACCCGATTAATTCCCAAGGGGATGACTAATGGGTGGGCCAGGTCCCGGGGACTACAAGTCCCAGTGGCCCATGCGGGTCTGGCCCTGGTGGCCGGGGAACCCACAGAGCCGGTCTCCAACCAGACAAAATACTGGAGCGTCTGACAGGGAAGGGTGGAGGCTTTCTGGGGCAGTAAGACATTCACCTGGATGGACTGCACTTTTGCTACGTCTGGGCAGCGAAGGCAGGACGCACCGTTCACCGCATACTCTGAGAGGTCACCAACCGCCCCGCAGCGTTCCCGACGTCCGCTCCACAAGCTAGCCTGGCGCTTGCTCCTCCTAGCTGAACTTCGAGGCGGTTCGGGAGCATGCGCGGTGCGGCCCCTCAGCCGGTCGGGCCCGGCGCGCGCGAGGAGCCGGTGCCTTCTGGAATCTTCCGTGCGCAACGTCTGCTCACCCGGCTGCGTGGGCTTGGGGCTCGGCCCGGTCTCCGCCTAGAGCGCCCGGCGGGAGCCACGGGCTTTTATCACCCGCCGCCTGCGTCTGTGCTCCAGTGGCCGCAACTGCCCCGGCGGCTGTTCTGGAAGAGATCTGAGAGCCGGGTGGCCTGGGTCGTGAGAACCCCGCACCTCTCGCGTTGCGGTGAAGAAGAACCGTTATTGCCAACGGGTGAGTATCGGCCGCGCGCTCCCTGGCCGGCGCGGGCCCGCGGTGACCACCGGGGTCGCCTCTGAGCGGGTGTTCCCGGGGGAGGATGCTCCCGAGCCCGCCGTGGAAGTGCGGTCGCCCGCACCGTCCAGATGCGCCCCGGAGCCTGTGACCTGCGTGCGGGTCGCCGAGGAGCGCGAAGACCCGGGTCTTCGCCGGCGGGACCTGCCTCTGCCTTGCCCCGAGGAGAGAGGTTCTTAGAGTTCAGGTGCTTTGGGTGTGGCATCTGAAAGAGCGCCCCGAATATGCGAGGGGTTCTTTTTCTTTCCAGAGCTTGCTATTAGTGTAACCAATTTAATTATTTTGCACTCTTAAAATAGGGCATGCTGGGCATGCGCACTTGTGACATGTCATCTTCGCTTAATGAAAGAAACAACTTACATTGATTTATTTTCTTTTCCCAGTGACTCACCCCGTGTTAAAATAACGAGTTAAATAAAATGTTCCGTGGTTGGAAACTTGTCCTGGGAAACTCTGACGGGGGCGAAGTGAGGAAACTTGCTAGTATGGAAAGCAGCACAGCAGTGTTACGTACGCTTATATTCATTCAAACGTTCAGATGTTTAATGGCCGCTTTCTGTGTGAGGCGTTGT